AATATGTTCTTTATTTGACTTATTTTCTTCTATACATTTTAATTTCTTAAAAATTGACATAATTCATTAATATATAGCTCTATATTCTGCTTTTTCTACCTAGTATTATATGATGAATTGTTTTCTTACTAGCTAAATTTTGCTGTATAGTAAACCACCTCAAAACTGAGTGACCAATAATGACAACCACTTATTTCACTCAGGACTGTGTGTCAGCTATATGGTTCTTCTAGCACATTTCTATGAAATAAACATTTTCCAAGATTTTTCTTGTTTGAGTACTATGTCAATGGATTCTAGACCTCTCTTTGCTTCTTGAAAATTCCTCCTTTCTTAGTTTGTAAGATCTCATTCTACTTGGTTCTCTTGCTTCTTCACCAGCACATTCTCAATTCTCCGTCAAGAGTTGTCCCCTTGCCTTTTCCTTAAATATTGATGCCCATCCCTTAAACTCTATTTTTGACACTTTTCCACACTATGTACACTTCTTGAACAACTCTATCCACAATCATTTTTTCAGTTGTCATTTATGTAAAGATGACATCCAAATCTGTGTATCCAGTTTTTGCTTTTCTTTTTAATGTCAATTCTGACTATCTCCAAGCCTACTAATATCTTCATTTGGATGTCCCATGGATGTTCCAGTCAAAATGTCTAAAATTAAACCCATTTTTTTTATTGCTCCAAATGTATTATTTCTCCTATTTTTCTCATCTTGATGAATGGCTCCGAGATCACTCAAGTTGGAAATCTAAGAACCATCCTAGGTGCTTCCATTTCCCTCATTATACATATCCAATTAATGGCCAAGTCCTGTTGATTTTATTTTCCAGCATCTCACTTCTTTGACCTGTACTATTGACATTACATTAATTGATCCCCTTAGCATTTATGACCTGGAATATTTCTATAGCCTTCCCATAGTCTTGTCTTACCCCATTCTTATGCTCAATACATCTTTAACTTAATTAACATCTTAATTGATATAAGAATGATTTTTCTGGCATTCAAATCATGGTTTAACATCCGTTAAAGGTGTCTCATTTCTTAAAAAAAAAACAACTTTCAAGTTCCTGAGGAGCATTCAAGGCTCTTCATTATGTGGCCAAGACCTTTCTGGTTTCATTTCTTTCTGCTTCTATATCCCCTTTCCCCTGTCT